TGAGATTGAAGTCTCTATTAAAAAAGTATGAGGGCTGTTTTTCCTCTTGTTTAGCTGATTTAGGGTATACTAACATACTACAGATGAAAATAGAACTGAACGATGCGAATCCAGTCGTTTACCGTCCTTATAGGCTTTCATATCCGGAACGTGAATTGGTTCGCACAATGGTAAAGGAGATGATGGATGCCGATATTGTTTGTGAGTCTAACTCACCCTATGCGAGTCCTATTCTTCTTGTGAAGAAGAAAACGGGTGAGAAAAGGCTTTGCGTCGATTACAGAGCGCTGAATAACAAGACTCGTAAAGAACATTACCCTTTACCACTGATTGACGACCAACTGGATAGATTGTCGGGAAATTCTCTCTTCATCAGTCTTGATCTTGCATCTGGGTACTACCAAATCCCTATAGCAGAGGATTCACAAGAGGCAACTGCCTTTGTCACACCTGACGGTCAGTACCAGTATAAAAGAATGCCTTTCGGGTTAGCTAATGCCCCATCAATTTTTCAAAGAGTGATGAACAAAGTTTTTTCTGATTTAAAATACGTTGTCATCTACATGGATGATATCCTGATTCCTGCTAGTTCATTTAATGATGGCTTGGAACGCTTAGAAGAAGTTCTACAGCGCTTAGCTAATGCAGGTCTAACTCTTAAATTAAAGAAGTGCCATTTCTTTCAAAGGGAGATAGATTTTCTAGGATTTTGTGTATCCGGAGATGGCATACGACCCGGATCTCGTAAAACTGATGCAATTTCTAATTTTCCTGTACCCAAAAACGTACATGAGGTGAGACGTTTTATAGGACTTGCAAGTTTCTTTCGTAGATTCGTCAAAAATTTCGCAATAATAGCATGTCCATTAACGAATCTTTTAAAATCTAAGTTTGAGTGGAAATGGACCACGGAATGTACATCTGCTTTTAACACTCTCAAGGAGAAACTCGCAGAACGACCTATAATAGCCTTGTTCGATGCGCGATTAGAGACTGAATTGCATACTGATGCATCCAAGATAGGTATCGCAGGTATCCTTATGCAGCGTGGTAGTGACGGCCAGTTGAGGACTGTAGCCTACTATAGTCGGAAAAATTCAGAAGAGGAACAAAAACTTCACTCTTTCGATCTCGAGACGTTGGCTGTCGTTGCTTCCTTAAGTCGTTTCCGTGTGTATTTATTGGGGCTTCAATTCAGAATAGTAACCGACTGTAATGCGTTAAGAACGACTTTGACAAAGCGTGATCTCATACCTAGGATTGCGCGATGGTGGGTTCAGCTGCAGGAGTACGACTGTACTATCGAATATAGGGCAGGCGCGCGTATGGCTCATGTAGATGCTTTGAGTCGTGCACCGGTAACTGAACACACTGACGATACTGATACACACGTAATCGACGTATTGCAAACAGAGGCAACCGATTGGATTGCAACTGTACAGAGTAACGACGAAGAGATAAAGCGAATCCGGGAAATTCTTCTCGATGATAAGACGAAATACGTTGCCGACGTACGAAATAATTATCAATTGAAGAATGGTTATGTATACCGTATCTTAGATGAGGGACTTCGTTGGGTAGTACCAAGGGGTGTTAGATGGCAAGTACTGCGCATGAACCACGACCATGTAGGGCATTTTGGTTTTGACAAGACGCTGAGTAGGTTAAAAGCAACATTTTGGTTCCCAAAAATGCGTCGTTTTACAAAGAAATATGTATCATCTTGCTTACAATGTGCACACCATAAGGTACCATCAGGCCAAAAGGAAGGTTTATTACACCCTATTCCAAAGATTGAAATTCCGTTCCATACATTGCATGCGGATCATCTCGGCCCGTTTATTCGTTCTAGAAGGGGAAACATGTATATTTTAGTAATTGTAGATGCATTTACAAAATTTGTTAATATACGTGCAGTCAAAGATACGAAAACTTCAACTGCAATTAAAGTATTTCATGAATATTTTAGTTACTTTGGTGCACCGTCTAGACTAATAACAGACCGAGGTTCATGTTTTACTAGTAGGAAGTTCAAGGAGTTCACAGACAAATTAAACATAAAACATATAATGAATGCGGTAGCTACACCTAGAGCGAATGGACAGGTCGAGAGGTTCAACCGAACCATATCCGACGCATTAAGTACGAAATGCCATGGTAGCAATGAAAATACATGGGATGAGTATGTAGGAGATATTCAGTTAGGTATGAATACCACTGTCAGTAAAGCGACTGGCAAGAGTCCCTCAGAATTATTATTCGGATTGAAATTAGTTTCGCCTTCAGAGAATATACTGGGAGATGCGATTTCTGAAACGACTCAGTTAGTTAGTAGTGACCACCTAATGCAACTTAGGTCCGATGTTAAAAAAAAAATTGATAAAGATCAGGAAAAAGCGAAAGCTAGGTTTGACAAGAATAGAAAGAAACCGAAATCATACAGTGTAGGAGATCTAGTTAGAATTGAAAGGACAGTCGTTAATAAAGAGCATCAGGGTAAATCTAAAAAGCTAATACCAAAACTTCAAGGCCCGTACCGAATTGTAAAAATTTTACCGAATGACAGGTTCGTAGTCGAGGACACGCCACTAACTAGGAAAGGAAACAAACGATACGAAAATATAATAGCAATCGATAAGATTCATCCTTGGCTAAATTTTAATGATTATTATAGTGATGATGATAACGAGATGGATAGTAATGAAAATGACAAAGAGGAATGAATTAATGGCATTGAAAAAAAAAACTAACAATGTGTTTTTTATAGTACTTTAACTTGTTACTTTAGTATTTAGGTACTATTTTAAGAAATGTTTCATAATGTACCTATGAATTATTGAAATGATTATCAGTGCTTCGCATAATTGCATGGTATAATTAATTTAACTGTCAATATGAAATGATCTGCGATTGAGACTAGATGATTAACACTAATAAAGAATGGCACTGTGTTATAGGTCCGTATGGATTATGATTATTGTATAAAATAGTGATTGTGAGCACCGGCTATCAACGATCAGTACAGAAACGAATGGTATCAAATTATTGGTATCGTACAGATGATTGTTGACCATAGCGGATCGTGCAAGATGTCAGTTTATGATAGATTTATTGTGAGCACCGGCTATCAACGATCAGTACAGAAACGAATGGTATCAAATTATTGGTATCGTACAGATGATTGTTGACCATAGCAGATCGTGCAAGATGAGAGTGTATTTAGTTTTGTTGTTAGCATAGACTATGAGCAATCGGTTCAGAAACGAATGCTATTTAGTACAAATGTCACACACATGTGACTAAATAATAAGGAGATTTATTATTGTATAATTGCTATAATTTATTGGTTATATTTATTATTAATTGGTTAAGCTTATTGAATTGAAGTGAGAGGACTCACTTGTTGAAGGATGGCCGAACTGTAAAACTAATAGTTTTATTGTAAACTTATTGTCAACATTGTTATTTGTAAAGTGACAGGTTTATACTATAGTACTCTGTGGTGACAAGTCTCTGTTACTGTCATAGACAAGTAAACACTTCTGTATTTTAGTATGTAAAAGTGATACCCACCACTAAAGTAATAGTCGACTAATTTAATAGTTATGGTTAGATGTCGACATTAACGGGGACCACTCTGATTTTTGGCGGGAATTCGAACTGTGTTGAACTCAACAATAAGATATATAATTTGGAATAATTATAATTATAACGTAGAATATTCAAGTATTCATTGTTTTATTTCTGAGTTAAGATCTAGTTATTACAATTGAAAATCATTTGGGATTTTAGGATTCTGAAGATGCCTTCAAACGTCAAAAAGACAAAATCATTAATTTCAATTAGACACTTACAGGCACTTTTAAACGTCAAACAAAATTTTAAAGATATGAAGTGTCAGTCTGTCGGTCTGTTCTCTTAGACTCTAGACAGACGGACTGCATTTTAAGTGCAATTCAACTGTAAATTTGCAGTTCGAATGCAGTTGACACGACTGCAATAGAACTTAAAACAACTAACAAGCACACGACTGCACGCCGACTGCAATTAAACTGCAATCGGACTGCTCGGTTTGAATTGAACTGCAGTATTCTATTGCAGTCGTGTCAACTCCATTCAAACTGCTTAAAATTTGCAATTTGAAGTTGAAATGCAGTCCGTCTGCCTAGAGCCTTAGTGAAGCTATATGCTCATTCCAAAGTGTAGATTCCAATGGAAGAACGAGCAAGAAACTCCGTGGTTACTCTTCTTAAATCAGTTTCACATACAGATTCTTTGGTACATTAATTAGTTGGATCGATTATGTGAGAACAGACTAAAAAGACTTTCTAGAAAATCGTCCTTGGATAGTTCAATGCTAGTGGCGTCCTCTGCTGAAAAGCATCTATTATTTTACATATATTTTACAGTTTTAAAGAATTCCTGTTTAAATATTCACGCGATACTTTACGCGTTCTGTCGCGCGGTTTCACTCGCTGCTCGCTTCTGCAAATCGTAGCGTAATGTTTTATACCCTAAAGACTTCCTCGATAAATGTACTAACAAACACAAAAATAATTATTCTTTTTTTTATGGTATAAGTCGGCAAACGGGTAAACGGATTACCCGCAACACCAAAGGAGTTACGAGTGCGTTGCCGGCCTTTTGCGGATAGTTGCGGATACAAGGATCGGGAAGGGATAGGGGAAGGGGCGGGATTGGGCCTCCGGTAACCTCACTCACACGGCGAAACACAACGTTGTGGTTGTTTCACGGAGGTATTCTGTGAGGCCGTAGTATCACTCCGGTCAAGCCGACCCATTCATGCCGAAGCATGGCTCTCCCACACTTAAATTCAATTCGAACCCGTAGTTCTGGTGATTAAACAAACAAACTCGCCAGTTTTATAATATTAGCAGGTATAGATTTGTTGTGATGGATTCGTTATTTCTATGACGGAGTTTGTTATGTGAATTATAATTTAATTAAATTAATACTTTAATTTATAATTTTTGTTGCAGATGTTCGGCATGCTAAACGTGCCTCATACATCGGGAAAGATCCTGCGATACCCTGGACCGTCACGACCTCGAGGTGCATCTACCTTCATGGTGCCTCCGCAGCGCGACAGGTGAGAATGACCACAACTACATAATGAAGTAATGTAATAAATTATTAATGGTAATATGCCATGCTTACCATTCGATAATTTTTCTATTGTTGTATATAGGTATATTTCGTTACATATTCAAGCCATTAATTTTTAACCATGTTTAAGAGTGAAAACGCACGGTTATACTTACAAACATAGATGGCAAAATTTAAAAAGAAAAATAAAAACAAAAATCTCGCAAACTACTAAACCGATTTTAACGAAACTTACCTTTATATTATCAAGACTAAGGTGGATAGACCAAGGCGTAGAAAGCCAAAGAGACGCGTATTTTTATGTATTAATTATTAATCACCTTTAAGAATCGTGTTAGATCGATACAATCGGTTTAGCGATTTTTACGGGCATAAATATTTTTAAACCTAAATTAAGCTTGGTAATTAACAACCCTCGTACACGGTAATCAATGGACAGCAGATATTACCAAATCTCAGATCTTGGATAGATCTAATTAGGCACGCTTAAACACTGACTTTTAATTAAAGGTCAAATTAATAAAATTATTGCCAAGTGCCTTAAATTGATTTACCTTTCCAATTAAGAATAGCGGGCAGTCCCTTACTAATTAAATCGAGTCCACGGGGACTTGTCAAAGTGAGCTCGTTAAAAATAATTTTGTAAGTAAGTGCCTACTTAGGGTGAAGGAATGCGATAAATATATTATGACTTTCAAAGCATTATTTTAGATCTACGATAAAAAAATGGCACGAAGTTTTTTATTATTTAATTGGCAATATTTTGTGTGTCGATAAAAAAGATATTTTTTTTAGTCTGTGGTAGCTGGTAGGTATGGCGCGAAATATGTGCCTTATTTCGATTCTTTTCTCGTTTAATTTTTAGACAATATTTTATGGTTCTAGGCTCAATATTCTTAATCTTTAAAACGTTTTTGATAAACCTCGTGTATGATTTAGTAAAAATTAAACAAATAATTTTTGAATGAACGATAAATAAAAATGATACATTTTTCTTATTATTTAGTTGGCAATATAATACAAAGAAACACAAAAAAATGTTTTGAATCTGTGGTACTGTGTCGAAATATCTTATTTAAATACAGATGTTTAAGTATTCGTTTAATTTTTAAAATACGAAATTTCGGTTTTCGATCTTGTTCTGAATTTTTAAAATTTTGAAAGGTGAATTCAAAGTTCGTGTTAGATGAATTCAAATAGAAATTAATTATTTATACTTACCTACTTGATAAATTATAATATTCATAATTTGGTCTACTAGGTTTGAAGCTCTGAAGAAACTGATTCGCCAAGAGCATGTGCGTGAGCTGCAGAGAAAATATGAAGCTGAACAGAAGCAGGAGCTCAAGGACTTGACTTCTGGACGAAGGTGAGCCTAAAAATTAGATACCAAACTTCAGTGAAGATTCTAGGTCAGTGAGGATGGTCTTAGCGACGGAGCATCTCATCTATACTTCTATACTAATATTATAAAGAGGTAAAATTTGTAAGTTTGTATGGTTGTATATCCCTACATACAAACTTACTTAAACATCTTTGGAACCGCTCGTCGGATTGCCAAAATTCTTTCACTGATAGATAGGTAGGTACAATGTTCCTGAGTGCTATAAGTTATAAATAAAACATCACGCTACGATTAAATGGAGATGAACAGCAGGTGAAACCGCGCTAGTTAAGATATAGGTAAGTGCCTATATATGTATAAAAGGGCATGTCATGCTACTAAATACGTTTATGACCAATCTGTTCAATTTATTGTTATTACTTGATACCTGACTTTCATTAATTCCAAATTTTGTTTAGCTATTTTAAGTGATGCCGTATAATTAATTATGATCAATGTCTAAGCTTTTGCTTAGCTGTCCGCACTTATAGGGTATTTTAATGGTGTATATGTATTGATCCATTATCTACCTATAAGGAGACTGTAGGTATACCATGCTTGTTCAAATAAACTTTAATTGTTTTTAATTTTCATTACGAAGGATTTTCGAAATTTCTCGAAAACATTCACGTGTAATGTTATAATATCCGACTATTACAGCAACCCTAAGTCAAGGTCAAAGACGTCAAACTTTTAGATTTCCGAAATAAAAAACAACAAGTAATTGTCAACAACTTTTGAAAACTAACAAAACTTCGAGAACCTTACAAATTAAAAAGTGAAAACAACTCTCAACAATTTCGTCACAGACCAAAACTTTATGAATTACGTTAGGTACAGTCAGCTCCAAAAGTCGATGAACAGAATCAACTTACCAAAACACCTGTTCACAATAAAACGCCATAAGTAATAGTCGCAACTAGGAAACAAAATAGCCTGTACACCAGAAATTTACAAAAGTCGTTACACACGACTAATTCAAAAGTATCTGTGCACTAGTATTCCTAAAGTCGCTGTACACCTTCAATCCAAATGTCGCTGAACATCATTGTATCAAAAGTCACTAAACAGCGGTAAAGACAAAATTAGGTTAACAAAGTATATGTCGGCGCACTGGCCATCAGTGCATGTAAAACCTCTTTGTTATACGTCGATGTCAAACTTCACTGTCAACTGTCATAATTATTTCAAGTCCATAGCGAACACTGAGCTCTGGTGAGGCGGCCTTCTTGTAAAACAGGACAATTAGTGTTGGACCTTCGTAGAATACGTACGCGGCCACGTGTTCGGTGGACGTTAAGTTCAAATTCAACCTAATCTTAATTATCCTTAGTTAAATTGTAATTGTTGTATCAAGAAATGATTGTAATATCAAGAGTTCTAAGAAGAGTGATTATAGCAACAGTTATTTTATTGAAATACTGTCGTCCTGCCCAACCGGGGCACACTTCCACCGTATATTCTACCGTGTCCTCCGGGCGATCTGTGCTAGGTGACACCCGAACGTTTCCTCCGAACAAGATAAGAAAGAAAACAGCGTTTTTCAGATTCGGTGTTTGTCGTAGTTGGGTTTTAGTTTTTATACTTTTTATTATTTGTACTATTTTGGTGTTAAAGTGTATTTGTGTTGCATAATATCAACAAAAGAATGAACTAATATTAAGTAGTAAAAGGTATGAACGAAAAGATGTGATTGATATGCAATCAGCACATGAATACAAGCAAAGTCACCAAAAAATGCTAATAATACATATATATTCAAAATGTACAAGTAAAGCGCTTTAAAATGATACCAAACACGGTATAATTATCTTAACTTTATTTTTTTACTCTGGTTGTTTTGTCCGCTAGAGGACGCCGCATTAGATTTTGTAATACATCATATAACTTATAACCGTAAATATAAAAGACGTTTCTAATGATATGTCATATTATGTCGAATTCTTTAAATTTTAGCATTGCCGTAGTCGGGTAAAAATAAGAAATTAAAGGAAGGTAGGTTTTGTAAGATTTGCGCAAAGTAAATTACAAGTATCGTCACAAAAATCACTTCGTAGATCATTAGAGTTATGTGTATGTTATTTCATAAATTATAGATAAGTATGATTACTGACGATAAAATATAATTTATTTGTAAATAAGTTTTGAAATATGTAGACACTAACGTGTTAACATACATTATTAAGGTCTAGCAAACACTGCCCCAAAAGTAGCTGAACAACTTATGCGTCAAATGTATATTAACACAGGGCAACATTAAAAATATACTTTGTTAACCTAATTTTGTCTTTACTGCTGTTTAGTGACTTTTGATACAATGATGTTTAGCAACATTTGGATTGAAGGTGTACAGCGACTTTAGGAATACTAGTGCACAGATACTTTTGAAATAACGACTTTGTAACGACTTTTGTAAATTTCTGGTGTACAGGCTATTTTGTTTCCTAGTTGCGACTATTACTTATGGCGTTTTATTGTGAACAGGTGTTTTGGTAAATTGATTCTGTTCATCGACTTTTGGAGCTGACTGTACATACAATGAAAAATCCAAAACGATAGCTAAGTTCAAATTTCGAAAGTTACCAATTACTCAATTCGATGTTGCCAAACTACTTCGAAAAATTACCTCACATTTAAAACGTGTTGGGAGAATTTGCCGGCTGTTGCGCGGCTGAAGCCGTACTTTTTAACATAACAAAAAGCGACTAACAAATTGTGAAGCGAAAGGAAATCTTTTAAAACGTCTGGGCGTGTTCATGTTAATCCGACCCGGCCGAGGCATTAAAGCGAGATTTTTGTCAAAATTAAAAGTGCTCGCAAAGGGAAATGTAATCCTCAATATCTAAATGTTTCTCTTCGTTTTCGTGTTCTGTTCATTATTAAATATGTCAAGGCATCGTCTCAAAACGAATGTGACATTATTTCGTCGAGATTGTTTTCGTGTGACGTCTTTGTTTTCGTTTTTTTTTTTAATTTAAATGTTCATTCGATTGAAATGAACGTGTTATTGGATGCTATTGAGGAATTTTGAGGGATATATTTAAATGGTACCTACATATTTGTTATGTAAATTAGATTCTGGGACCTAATTAAATAAATGTTTTAGTAAAGGGAGCGAAATAAAACGTTATTATTGATGAAACGTATATCTCGTTAAACCCTTTGTTCCATTTTCTGGACTTTTTCCTAAGAGATTGGGGTCAGTACTGAGACTTTAATCAGATTGAACTTGAAGTTAGCAATTTACTGGCAAAGATATCTGATTCTCGCTACCCTTTAAAGAAGAGCAATAGTTATATCTAATAAGTAATAAGATACTTTATTGTATTTTATCCTGAGCTTAATTTAATGCTAAATGCTAACCATTTTAATGTAAATAGGGTCTTAGGAATACCTTGATCTGAAAGTGGGTGTCATTGTCTCAAGAGAATTTTCCTAAATTTATGATCTTTTACAGTGATGACTACGTCTACGGATCGTATGGCGAACAGGAGCCTCGAGGCCTGCAGCCACTGCAGATGGAGTACCCTGCCGATGAACCAACTTCCAGGCATAGCAAGTATGTACCCTCTGTGCATCTATTTAAAGCTGATATTCCCAATTTACTGTTTCCAAAAATAACCTCCAAAAAGCTTTGTTCCTTTGACAACCATATCATTAGTGAAAATACAATATTTTGGCTAATTATATTGTAAAAAGTAACGCGTAATAGGGTCTTATATTAAAGTAGGTGTAGGTTTCCTTAACACAAAGAGAAAGGAATTTGCTTTCAAATAAATATTGTGTATCAAAGCGAATAAAGAATTTTTAAATAAGAACTTTCTTGAATGCTTTTTAAAATATAATTACTTTGCAAATGTCAAGGTTGGTTTATAGTTTCGGATATTGTTAATTGGTAGTATTTGTGTATTACATTGTTATTGCTTGTTTGTAGGAAACCACCGGCTGGTAGTCGCCAGATCTCGCAGTTCTCGCGCTACTCCGACGTGATGCTGCCACCGGCCCGCCGCGCTATCTACCACCCTTACTTAGACTACGCAGCCCCGGAATTCGTCCCCTACTACTGAACACCATCCGGGCACTCGGACCCACAGGACGAACCAACGTTCTAGAACATTCTACTGCAGGGATTGTCTCCCTTATTGTACAAAACACTTTATGGGCTTTAAATCCAAATATCAGTATTAAAATGTCATATCGAAAGCATATCTTTACCGCTTTCGCTTAGACGATCCTCGTCATTTAAAATGCGAGCTTTCTCTGCATTATCTTTCAATATTTTTATATTTATAAACCGAAGTTTTTCGATGTAGATATGCGATCTCTGAATTTTAATATACCCCTTTTGAATAATCGCATTGTATTTTTCGATAGGTTTAAGGATTTAGGAGGATTTCTTCTTGGAATGTTCGAGTCCCTAGTTCGAACGGACATAATAATGTTATACGGTACTTCCGATTGTGACAATAAATACATTATATATACGATTCGAGCAATTATCTTATTGCCGTCAATTCCAAATAAGTAAATCGTGACAATAAAATATTAAAAAAAACGTAATCTGACAATAATCTGTATGGATGTTTACAATTTGATGTTTAGTAGAGTTATAAGCGTGACAAGGATATATTCCATTTATAAATTAGGATTTTAATAATCGAATATGATTATATAACTTGGTGGCTAGCCAGTTGGAAGTTATTATCTGCTTTTCGCTTCGATTCGACTTAATTGAAATTTTGATCGCAACATTTATTAAATAACAAAGAATTTTAAGCGTATTTCTTTCTTAATCGAAAAAGTTTTTATTCATATTATGAGGTACAGTCCGAGCCCGACGACCTCAAAAGAATCGAAGCGGAAAATATTCTTTTAGCTTCGTCCTTCTAAGGAATAGTTTTGCTACCCTTCACTTGCTCATACTCCGTACTATATGTTTTAAAACAACATGTTTATTTGTAATCAGTATTATTTTAGCAGTTGACTGCCATATGATGGACATTTTCTGCTATATAATTTTTTATTTGAAAATAATGCATAGTAACAAAAAAGATACTTAAGCTTATGACTATAACTAAACCTATTTGGTCGGTGTATTGTTTCTCCAAAATAGTTGATAATTGTTGTGATTAGTCGCTAAGTATATGGTTACCATGTATTATAAATCAAAAGCCTTCAAGACGGCTAGATGGGCTTCGGCTGTGCGGGCAGACAATTCTACGTTATACTTCGAGTGATACGAATGGTAGCGCAACCGAGTCCCGGCAGAAAAATGCTTTAACTACATTTAAATGTTTCATGTTTATTGTAATACATAGTTAATTGTAAATTAGTAATGCGCCGCTCGCGGCTTATTTAATATTTGTGTACTAATGGATCTTAATATAGGAAAGATGCAGCCGCGGATCGATGGACCGAGTACCTTCCGTTCTATGAGAAACTAACAGCGTCACTGATGTTCCATTGTCTCCAGTTTGTCTGTTTGTCCTACCTACAGAGCAACCTGTTTACAAACCTTTGCAGATTTCCTAACTGTGTAAATTAATCGGAATCGCACTGAAAGTGAAGGCTGTAATTCTAAGGAAGTTGTTACCTATTTGTGTACTATATATATTATTATATCTAATCAACTATCGACATATAAGTATCGACAATGGTCGACATAAACTCACAGACTATAAAATTTGGCTTTAAAATTATATTACACGTCATATATTGTGGCTTTAAGAAGTCAATGAACTCATTAATCTTCTATTTATTACGTGGCCCGTCTTACGACGGCCTGTATCCTACATGTTACGATTTAGCGAGATATCTATACATATTTTTATTTTATATTATATATAATTTTCTAACAATATTCTGTAGAATTTTACAAATTATTTTATTGTCTTTTAAAGTCATTAATAGTTAGGTAGTTAGTCGATAAATACATTGAGTAGTGTTTATTGGATGCGTATTATATAGGTGTTTAACTAAAGGAAAAATATTTGGAAACATTTCAATAACTAATTGTAGTTTCTTCACAGTTACATATCGTTGCGATTGCAGACGTAACTAACACATATATGATCTAGCCATATCAATAGAAAGAATGTAATTCTAGTGAATTATCGAATGCATATAAACAAACTCAATCAAGATTCTATATTACCCGTAATTCGGGGAAAAGTCTTTATTGTGGCAACACTGGCGCGCCGTTCGGAAACTCGTATGATTAAAAAAAATAATGTCAAAGCAACTATTCTTCAATTATCTAGTCAATTTACGTAGATTGTGCATTCGATATTTCAAATATACCTAAATGTATGACAATATTTATGATAGTATCACTTACCTATCGATAGTTCGCAGCGCGGTCTTGCACAGACAATAAATATGTAATTTGGACAATAATTCGCGTTGCATGTACTATGACGTATAGTTGTAATAATATTATATTGAGGCCGCGCCTGTCCGTACGTAGGTATACAATTTAACCTATCCATTAATAAATTAATGTTTTAAAAATGTATATTAATTGGTGGTTTTTTTGAGAAATAAAGATAGTTACATACTCCTGAGCATAATTGTCTGATTATTTTTCATTCGCTTTACCCCCACTCACTTAATTTAAGGATATACCTACTATGTCACATGTTTTATACCCTGAATAAGTAGACAAGGATGCAAATTCAATATTTTTGTGTAATAAATAGCAAACTAGCAGAAGGGGTACCGTACCTGATAGTAAGCAACCAGCGCCGCCCATGGACACCCGCAATTACGAAGGTGTCATAAGTAGGTACGTTGCCTACCTTTGGGGATTACGGTTTTCGAGATTTAAGGATTGGGTTGGGTGTGGGGATTTGAAGAAGTGGGCCTTCGGTAACCTCACTCGAAGAAAACGCTATGTTGTTTACTCCAGTGGAGCTAATCCATTTGTACCTAAGCATGGCTCTCCCACACCATTTGAGACCACTTAGCAAAAAGGGAAGAGGTAACCGCAATTCCAAGTGTTACCTTTCCATTTGTGGTCAAAACAGCGAGTTGTGGCTATTATTGGTGGCTCCCATCCTCAATACTTAACTAGAATAAAAAACCTTTTTTTCTTATAGACTCCATTCAATAAAGCATAAGGCGGGCTTTGGCCAATCTATACGAATCTATACTAATATTATAAAGAGGTAAAATTTGTAAGTTTGTATGTAGGGGGTAATCTTTTGACCCACTGGTCGGATTGCAAAAAATCTTTCACTGCTAAGTAGCTACAATGTTCGTGAGTGCTATAGGCACGAAGAAGAACATCAAATGGAGCAGAGCAGTGGGTGAAACCGCGCTAAAGTAGCTATTTTTCAATAAGCCAAAAAAAACATTTGTTCTGAGCAGATCAACAGGGCAGTATACATATATGCAATGAAATGGCACATGGTGTGAAGTTTTCAAAAAGCCTATTAATAGATACTACCTGATCCAGGAATCGGAAAACGAAGAAGAACTTTAGGCGACTTGGTAAACGTACCAGAAACTTCTCTTTGAACTGTCACATCTAGGTACTCAAGCAACAGTCTCGTTATTTTTTTTTTTTTTCTTATTTTGATATTTGTATAGAAAGGACGATATTAAAGACATATCAAAAACTTAGGTCTATGCCAGATACATTTCCGAAACCAGGAGCTCGTACTTTTTTGGCTCCTTTTAAAATATTAAACACATAGCCTAATCCTTCACTCAAAAGGTATCACCAGTGTATTTTCCGGGTGTAGGTATCCAGTCTTATAGAATATATTTATGTAGTCGATGTTGATGGCCATTGAGATAGAGTTTTATTTGAGGTAAGACTCGCTAGCCTGCCACCCTCAAAAGCTAGAAACCTTTTAAAGGTTTGAAAAAAAAGGACCACGATAGCCTTACCGACGGTGTATGAAATTAGTCTGTCTGGAACCGAAAAGTCCCGTTATGACATGGTAAAACTAAAATATATTCTGCAATGCCTTTTTGAGGGGGGCAAATCATGAAATTACTTTCTCTTTTTTAAGGGGATGAATTAGGGGATGGCGCAAGGAAGTGTCAGACTCTTACTCATTAAAAGTACCTTGTTTCCTTGTCCTGTTCCAGGCGAGGCCGCGGTACCTTACTGCGTGTGACCCGCAACCCCATCTAAACGTAGACCTGTTGGTGTGTTGTGTGTTGGCAACCTTTTTTTTTTGTCAGGGGAAAATCATCAAATTGCTTCTCCCGCCCAGGGTTAGGCGAGAGAGAGTGTCAGACTCTTACTGACTAAACACCCCCCGTTCTCCTGCTCTAGGCTGAGGTCGCGGTGTGCCTCATTGTGCTTACAACCCCGTCTGAACATCAGCCCTATAGGTCACCGTCTGTGGTGGTCTATTTGCTTTTTGAGGCTCGCGTGGAACGCTACACGCCGCACGCTCGGGTATGGTTCTGGTCGAGCGGCGACCTACCCTTGCCCTCCGACCGCACATCCGCGCTTACAATGGCCGGAATCGTCGCTCGATCCCCGACACCCCCGGAGTGTCGCCTACTGCAGCCGCTGGCGAGTGAGGAGCCTTATATCGCTCTGTAAGCCTTGACTAAGGCCAGACGCCGGAGAGGTCGCAGCCTATGATCACTTCCCTGAAGACAATGTTCAGTCCAAGCAGGTACCTTGTCATCCAGGTGGTAAGGCTTATATGTCTGGTAAGCACGCCATTGTGGACGCCATGGTGTCTCTCTATAAACTCCTCAAAGAGGGATTTTGCCGCTACTATAGTTATCTTGCCCTGTCTCACAGCCGTTACACGTCCTGTGAGTGTCGTTAGAGCTGACTAAGAAACTGCACAATAAACAAAAACTTGGCAGCAGCGCTCTCTGATACATAATGGTCCTTCTATCTGCGATCACCAACACATGTATAATTTGTAAAGGGTGGAAATTAATACAATACGCATTTGTATAGATGAGGCCAGTCCAGGTCCAACATGGAACTGTTATTGGATTTGAGTGTATTTAAAACTGTCTGAGTGTATTTAAAACTCATAGTAAGTAGTCTCAAGTTGTAAACTATATTCAAGCTCGCAAGCTTTTTTGT